TTTTAAATTTTGCATTGTAATGTAAATATAAAGCATTTTGCAATGTTTTTGGGGTCTCTAACATTTATTTCCTTCCTCAAAAATAAAAACGCCCTATCATTCTAATAAAATAAATAATTTGTGACAAAAGCAAAAAAAAAAAAAAAAAAAAAAAAAAAAAATCAGACAGAAAAAGAAAATAAAGATCTGTGTATTTCAACACCCATTAATATTATTTGTTACCATCTTTTCATGCATTTCTCTATGCATATCTGAGTTTCTGTGTGTGTTTAATCACAGCATTTCTTACATATTTCTTATGGGAATTCCTTTAAAACAAATCTTTTTTATGTTAATTTCCAACTGCCAGCTCCCCATCTCCTTTCAAGATACAAGTGTTTGGGTATTTTTTTCTTTCATACTTTTACATATGTCATATGCACACACACACACACGCATATACATATATAGAGAGACACCAAAAATGTTGGGTTGAGGGCTGTGGGGACTATCATTGTTACTTACCAAAATGGAATCATATTCTTTACACTCTTCTACATGTTTCTATTCTCAATTAACACTTGATGGATATCCTTCCAAATCAAATTATGTGTAATTATGTAGTTATTCTTTTTACTGATGCCTAATATGGTTTACTATGAATGTACCACAGTTTATTTCATCACTCACCTGTTGATGTATACTTTCCTCCCGCCCAAGCCCCCGCTACAAACAGTGCTCCAGTAAGTAGTGTGGAACTCTGCATTTCTAGCCTTCCTCATGCCAAAAAAATTTAAATAGTGCTTGTGCTAGGACTTTCAAAAAAGGATGGTGGTTTAAGAGAACTGTGGATTTGTAAGAAATGGAATGGAAATAGTATGAGGCTTTCTAATAAATGTTACTGCTTAACCACAATATCTTTGATATTTTTAACAGATGACCTCAAGCCTGTTCAAATTTTTCGAAAAAAAAAATTATCCACCCTGTACGTTTTATGTGACTTTTTCATGTTAAAAACTTAGCAGTCTTGGCTGGGCATGGTGGCTCACGCCTGTGATCCCAGCACTTTGGGAGGGATTACAGGCGGGTGGATCACTTGAGGTCAGGAGTTCGAGACCAGCCTGGCCAACATGGTGATACCCTGTCTCTATTAAAAATACAAAAATTAGCCGGGCATGTGCACTTGTAATCCCATCTTCTCGGGAGGCTGAAGCAGGAGAATTGCCTGAACCTGGGAGGTAGAGGTTGCAGTGAACTGAGATAGTGCCGCTGCACTCCAGCCTGGGCAACAGAGCGAGACTCCGTGTCAAAAAAACCCAAAAAAACACAAAAAACTTAGCAGTCTTGTATCTAGATTGAGAATGCATTTTTGATTATGTCTTCCTTTCATATTAATCTTTACAGTTTTATTTCTAAAAAGTGTTGGAATGTTGAGCGGTAAAATGAAATAGTTCCTACAAAATATGCTTCAAACAATGGGGACTTTGGTTTCCTCAACTGAAGCCTTGTCTATGGATCTTAATGCGCTAGGTCCTTTATTTTATGGGATAGATTTCCAAGGGAGGGATTTCTCAGCTGAAGTGTATGTTCACTTTTTTAAAAAAATTGACGGCCATAAAAAAATCTTTGAATAGCAAAATGTACTGTGAACAGATAAAGACAATGACAGGCAAGGGAAAATATTTGCAACTCATATAATAGCTACAGGGATATTTCTATACTACTTGTGTTTCTAAAAAATCAGAATATAAAAGCTTGATAGAAAATGGGGAAAGGACATAACAAGATAAGTCAACAAAAAAGTAAATTTAAACATCTTTTGAATATACGGAAAGATTCTTGGCCTTTCTATTACCTATGATACAGAAAATATCAAAAAGTTTCATAGCACTCTTTTGGCTAGAGGAGTGGAAACACTCATTCTTATACGTGGTTGTTGAAATGTAAATTGATATAATTTTTAAGAGAAAACAGTTTGGTAATCACTGTCTATCAAAATAGAAATTTATGTCCTTTGACCCAGCAATTCCACATCTCAAATTTATCCTAAAGACATACTGGCCGGTGTACAAAATTACCTATGTACACATTTATTCATTACAGGATTGTTCATAGTTGTAAACTATGTAGCAGGTATCTGAGTTAGTTTCTAGTTAAATAAATTAATAGTACATAGTACTAAAAGAAGACATAGTCCAGAACTGTTAAAATAAGGAAGAAGCTGCTCTGTATGTACTGATATGGGATCAGATCCAAGATATGTAAATAAATGAAAAGATAAAGGTAGAAACTGGTGAGGTTGGCCTGCTACTATTTGTATGAAAATAATATCTAATAATTATGTTTTCTAATACATAAAATATTTCTATGAAGATGCCAAGACACTGATGTTATGGGTTGCCTTTTCTACAGAGACCATTATCCTAGGACAAAGTTAGGAAGGAGATTCTTTTACTGTATGCCATTTTGTGTCTTCTGAATTTTGAACTGTTTAAATGTATTATCTATTCAAAAAAATGACAAATGTTTCCAAAATCATGACAAGGTAAAAATATCTTTTAAAAATCTAGCTTGTTACTTATTATATTGTGACTAAAAACTTAAAGAAGTTTCCAGTTTCTTTTCCTTCTACTTCTACTTGAAGTTTGCCTCCTTTCTGTTCACAATTAAAAAGGAAACAAACAAAATATTTAATGCTTTTTTGTAGATACTTCTCTGTAATGCTTATTGAGCTCCCAGTCCCAGCTCACCCATCTTTGGGTAAAGCTCCTAACCAGAGGGTAGATGGTCTTAGGAAGTATTTTTTAAGTTTTCTTAGTGCTCAGATAACACGCCTAACAGTGCGACAGTATGTGTCTTTAAATGTTTTGGTATGTATGATATGAAAAAAAATTGATTAAAAAGCAATTTCATGGGTTTCAGTACTAAAGATTTGCTACAAAATGACCTAAAAAGCTGGAAGTGTGACGCTAGTCCTATTTTCTCTTTTAGATATCAAACACCGTCGAATTCCAATCTTATTCTTTGCAAATAAAATGGATCTTAGAGATGCAGTGACATCTGTAAAAGTGTCTCAGTTGCTGTGTTTAGAGAACATCAAAGATAAACCCTGGCATATTTGGTAAAGTTTTATATTTACTTTTCACTTTGCTTTCTGAAAAACATACAAGCTTCAAAGTTGTTTCTTCTGACCTCATTTTTTAAAAATAAGTGATCAAACATGGCGGGATATAAGCTAAGGATTTTGTTTTATAGAATTGTGGCCTTGTAGCTTTTTACAAATATGTTACTGTTAAAAATCTTTTTCAAATTTTTGTGGGGATAGGAAAATATAAACAACTCTTATAATGGAATATAACTTAAAATCTCACTTATTTACTGAACTTCAGCCACACTAATTTCCTTCTGCACATGGAGTCAGCCAAGCACAGTCCCATCTCAGAGCATATGCACTTGTGTCCCCATCCTTTGAATCAGTTTCCAAAATAATTTTCCTGGTTTGCTAGAGTCACTATTACCATGTGACTGCTTTTTGTTTGTTTGTTTGTAGTCTGTCTGCCTATACAGGTATGTTAGCTCCCTGACAGCTGGGATTTTGTCAGTTTTCTTCACTTTAATAACCCCTACAATAGTCATAGTACCTGGTATGTAATAGGTACACGATGCATATTTGTTAAAATGAATAAATGGAAATGGAAATTTTAATTTTACTTAGACATCCTAGTAAGGTTGAACTCTTAAGTAATTAATGTTGAAATTGTATGCATTGTTTATTTGGAAAACTGTTTCTTATTTAACTCCTGTGTGTCTTTCTACCAAAATATTTTAATAAGGATAAACAGAGATTGTACATTAGATAGTATTTTTGCGCCTACCACTACCATATTAAACTCCCTTCTACCCACCCGCCTACCTCTCTGCTGTAAGAGGTCCTTTCCATGCCAGAGTTTCCCCCTTTTTATAAGAAGGTATCTATGGGGAAAGATTGGAAACAGAAGCAGAGAGATGCACTTCCACAACAAGGTGAACTAGAATATGAAGCAAGGAGGTAATAGAGTTCAGAAAACAACTTTAGGAACTAGTTTTGGTGCTGAAAGAGTAATGTAAAGACCTTAGGAAAGCTCTTGAAACTTTCCAGTATTCAAAGCCTCCAGCACCTCTTCCCAGGAGCTAAACCCTGCATATCCCAAGTAAAACTTTCGTTACTCTAGGATCAGAAAAAAGTCAGTGTCTAATAAATGATTCTTGAGTTGGAATTTGAGGTCCTGTGGTATTTGGTAGGTAAAGAATGGTGGGATTTTGGATAAAGAAACATCTTGAGCTAGAGCCTTTATATTTCTCTAAATCATACCTAAGATGATTACTTCTAAAGTAGAATAATTTTTAATTTCTGTGTTGTATTAAGTATTGTGACTGCTTGATAGAAAGTGCACATTTAAAAACATGGATCTAATTAGTAAATAACCCTCTTTTCTACTTAAAATAATTAACCATTAAATTTTAACAGATTTATTTATTCAATTGTGACATCTCAGTATTTCTCTGTGAGAAAAAAGTAATATCCTGATGCTTATAAGGATGTAGGATGTTATAGTGCCAGTTGCTAGATTTTCTAGATAACTTATAGAAGAAAGCAAAATGTTTCTTTTAAACATGTGTATAATTGTGACTTCCCCTTAATTCAAATTGGACCTCTTCTCACTAGGTTCAAGTTAATATCTCATTTATTCGTTTTGTTCTTTATTCTTGGCAATATTTTTAAAAGCATGTATAAAATTGAAAATATATTTATCCTTTTTCTATTTTAAATACAAAAGTAATGCTCAGTGATACAGAGACAAAATATTGTCTGTCTCCTGCCTTGGGTACAAGTAAATTTACTGAGCAATAAAGAGAAGATCCTAGAGAAGTATAGTCTGATAAATTAAAGAAAAATTTTATGTTTTATATTTGACTATTGTACTAAACATATAGTCAGCTCTGATTTTCAGGGTCTGATTGTGTTATTCTTCTTCAGATGTGTTCTTTGACTCAATCCCTGGCATCATGATTGTGTGTATGTGTGTTGTATGTGTGTTTGCTTGTTTACCATCTTGTGGGGGAGACAAATAAGAAGCAACTAAATGTATAAAATGTCAGCTGGGTGGATGAGAAAAAATAAAGTATGATAAAAAGAGAAAGAATAATGGGAGTTGCTCCCTCTCTGAGACCTAATTGAAGTTAGGGAGCAATTCGTGTAAAGATTTGGAGGAATAATTGTCCAGACAGAGAGGCCAGCAAGAAAAAGCCTCTTCTTGGATGAGAATGTACCTGTTGTGTTCCAGGAGCAGCAGGAAGTCCAGGTTGGTTAGAGCAGGGCAATCTAAGGGGAACTTGTAGGAAATGAGGCCACTGAGAAACAACCAGGGGTCATATCACACAGGGCCCAGATTTTTGCTTTATTCTTCCTTATTTGAGAGGAAAGATAGAATTCAAACATTTGTTACGAAAAGATGCAGTTTTTCGTAGAATAATGACACCTACACCAGAGGGGAAGGGTTTTGTTGTATTAATTGTTTGGAACTATAGGTGTATGATGAAATTAATGTATTTCTCTTTCTTGATTTAAGTGTTTCAGTTACTGATGTCTTACTCTTACCATGGATAATCAGTAATTTGCTTTGAATAGTTGTGTATTTCATGTTGTTTGTTTCTTCCTTTGTATTTTATAATAATTCTATGATAAGCCATATTCTTAGTCTAACAAGTAATTTCTGGGAGATAATTTTTATTTTGATTAGAATTAAGTTAATTCTTTTAGGTACTTCACTATACTTTTTAAAGCTATGCTTCAGCATACTAAAAGGAACCCTAATCATTCAGAAAATCTAATTGTATATATTAATTGCTATTATACAATTATATTTTGAAAATAAATGCCTAGATCAATAACTGTACCTTTGAAAAAAGATTATCTAATACTCTAAAAATCCTCTGCATTTTATTTTAACTTATATACTTAATTATGATTATACATAAAATCTCACAATCACAATTTAAGTTTAGTCTCTCAAAAATGGAAAGACAATGGAAGCACCCTGTTTTAGGTGTTTTATCTACATACTTCAAGTGTTTAATTCTCACAATTACCATATGAGGTCAGTGGTACTATTCCGCACTTTACAGATGCTGAAACTGAAGGCAGAAGAGTTCAATGACCTGGCCAAGCTCCCTCAGCTAATAAGAAAATGATTGAGATCTACCAAGTTTCTGTTTTACTCTACCAGCTTACCAAAGCTATAATTATGAGTTTTTATCCTAAAGATATCAAATTCCATTTCAAAGAAAGGCACACCATAATATGGCTGTATTATAACCCAAGTCAAGCATTTCTAATAATGAGATGGAACCATTGAAACTGAGCAAAATAGGATAGTGGACTGTACAAAACTTTTCTACCACTGGAAAAATAATTCAAAAGTATTTGTTTTGTTAATGTCAGTGTAAGAACTAGTCCTAGGATAAAATAACTTTTCTGCGATATGGTTTTCAAAATCTGTTTATAAATTATAAACATATCTTGTTTCTGAGCACTCAGACTTTTATTTTCTGGTTTATTTTCAATTTCAGTGCTTAACCAGCTTTGCTCAGATGTATGTTATTATAATATATTAATTCTCCATATGGCAAAATTGTAATCCTTTATTCTTACAGTGTTATGATGTAATGAGATGGCTATGTTTCTGTGGATTTTATTTCAGTGCTAGTGATGCCATAAAAGGAGAAGGATTGCAAGAAGGTGTAGACTGGCTTCAAGGTACATCACAAAATACTGTGTGTCTTCACCCTTTGTTTCCTTTTTATTCATACTTTTATCTTTTTTTTACATTTTATTTTATTATATCATTGCCTTTTTTCCTCTTTCCATTTATTTCTGCTATCAGAAAAAATAATACAGTAAGTATCCAATACCTTGTTCCATTTATTTCTATAGCATATTGCTAAAGAATATTTTTACATAAAGTGTCTGAATCTTTACAGTCAATATATTTGACACATATAGAAAATAACTTAAACTATGACAACAAGTTTCTGTCAGATCTAGTAATAGAAGCACATTTACATTTTGGGACAAATGTTAGGCCCTACTGTCAATAACTAAAAATAAGTCTGAATGACATGTTTCTTTTAAGAATCATGCTGGCCAGGCACGGTGACTCAAGCCGGTAATCCCAACACTTTGGGAGGCTGAGGCGGGTAGATCATGAGGTCAGGAGATCGAGGCCAACATGGCGAAACTCTGTCTCTACTAAAAATAGAAAAATTAGCTGGATGTGGTGGTGCACACCTGTAATCCCAGCTACTCTAGAGGCTGAGGCAGGAGAATCATTTGAACCCAGGAGGCAAAAGTTGTAGTGAGTCAAGATTGCACCACTGTACTCCAGCCTGGCAGCAGAGCAAGAATCCGTCTCAAGGAAAAAAAAAAAAAAAAAAGAATCATGCTGTACTACAGATATAGCTCCATTTGTATATTACATGTATACACAACTTGTAGTACTCATATTTAGTATTACAGATGCTGATCTTTTATTGATATTTTGTATATTTGCAGTTCTGGTTGCTATTAATCAAAATAGTTATAGATTGGTACAGGCTTACTATATTAGGTAATAAATTAACATATATCATTTACCCTAATGGTCTCTCAGCCAAAAGAATGGCTTGAAGCACACAGAGCAGTAGATAGATGTGAATGAAACCAAGCTCATAGGTTCTTATTGCAGGATCCCAACGGCCAAGTCAGAAATTGCAGTTCTGAGCATAACAACTAAAGATCATTTCTATGGGGAATGTCTCTGCCCTGAACAAGAGTGAATAACAGGATATTATAAATTCTAGCTATAGTCTCATAGTTACAAATTCTTCTACACAAACCTTTTAATGCCAGTTGTGTCTGATTTTTTTTAAATCTTCTGCATGTTTTGCAAACAATAGCAGGGATATATCACATATCATGGTAGATCTAAGAGTAGCCTGCCTGCTCATACATCATAGTATTAATTTCGTTCAAAGTATGAAATGTGCATTTCATAAATATCTGTATGTGTTGTTGGTAAAATATGGTGGTTTAGTTAACTAGACAGACTATTATTGTATTTCTGTGTCTTTTATGTTTATGTAGTTATAACATCATTAAACTGCAAGGAACATTCAAGTCATATTTTACAATTAGTGACACTTAATCAGGAACCTCTCGTGGTTCTCAGAAGAACTAGCAGGATTTTTCTGTGAACCCAGCAACTTAGTTTCTTAGACTGCAGTAATGAAGTGTTCAAGGCAATGGGATGGATTTCCACCAGAAACAGGCTACAGAGGAATATTCCAGAGAAGATACCAGGAGTATGTTTTCAGCCTCATTTCATATTTGACAGAGTGCTTACCATTGCTAACAGTGAAGATACAGCATGGATGGAAACCCTACTGTCACTCGTGATAATGTAATTCAGAGCACAGTATTTACTGAAAATAGGTTGATAGTCTTCTAGATTTTAAAGTGTGGTTCTCCATCCCTTTTCTGGTTTTATTTTGTCATTAGCAGTTAGCCACTAGGTGTCAGTAGCAATCCAACATCACAATACCAATTGCCAAGTCTGGTCTTGATACCTAATTTTTGTTTCTTTGACTTTTCTGATCCATCATTATCTGTCTTACCGCCCAAGTTTTTGTAAGGAGGACACATTTTGGAAATACTTTTGTGTCCTTGTTTTTCCATATTACTTTATGTACCCTTTACAATTTTCTGCAAGGTAAGCAGTAGTACCTCTATTTTGTATAGAAAGCATTGACTGATAGTAAAAAAAAAAAAAAAAAAAAGCTTAGGCTTTTGAGTACAACAAATTTATTCTACTACTTATTAATTTACTTCTCTGTCTGTTAGCTGAAATCTCTTACCTTGTGAAGATTTTTTTAATCTGTAAAATTGAAAAATAAAATGTGTTAAATTTTGTACAGATTAAATTAGATACTGTTTAAGTACCTAGCATAAGAAAGCACCCTGTAAATATTAAGTTTACCCTTTTACCTAAACACTCTGTTTTAAAAAGGAGGAAACTAACCACAGGATAAAAGAGTGTATCATTTGGTTTCAAATAGGAGATGCTTTGGTTATATTTTCTTCCTTCTTTCCTTTCTTTCTTTCTTTCTTTCTTTCTTTCTGTCTCTCTGTCTTTCTGTCTTTCTTTTCTTTCTTTCTTTCTTTCCTTCCTTTCTTGCTTGCTTTCTTTCTTTCTCTTTCTTTGTTTCTTTCTTTTTTTGTTTTTTTCTTTCCTTCCTTTCTTGCTTGCTTTCTTTCTTTCTCTTTCTTTGTTTCTTTTTTTTTTTTTTTTTTTTTTTTTTTTTTTTTTTGATGGAGTTTCCCACTTGACACCCAGGCTGGAGTGCAGTGGTGCGATTTCGGTTTACTGCAACCTCCGCCTCTCGGGTTCAGGCAATTGTCCTGCCTCAGCCTCCCAAGTAGCTGGGATTACAGGTGCCCACCACCACGCCCAGCTAATTTTTTGTATTTTTAGTAGAGATGGGGTTTCACCATGTTGGGCAGGCTGGTCTCAAACTCCTGACCTCAGGTGATCCACCCATCGCCTCAACCTCCAAAAGTGGTGGGATTACAGGCATGAACCACCACGCCTGGCCGCTTTGGTTATATTTTCTGTGTAATAACAAATAGTTTACATTGTCATATTCCCAACTGTCTCTAGATTTGAAAAGAGATAAAAATCTATTTTTAAAAAATAAATAGCAGTAAATATAGGAGATTAGTTTGTGTTAGCTAAAGACATTTATGTGAATGTAGCTGTGAAAGGTATTCTAAACTTATATCTTATTTTGCTTCCAGAATTCTGGAATTTCCTAGTATAATAGACACGAAGGCCTTTGGTTCATTTGGGGCTAATTTAATCTTATTATTTAGAGTTTAAGGTTGGGGCCGAGAGCAGTGGCTCATGCCAGTAATCCCGGCACTTTGGGAGGCCAAGGTGGACAGATCACTTGAGGACTGGAGTTCGATACCAGTTTGGCCAACATAGTGAAACACTATTGCGACTAAAAATACAGAAAATTCATCGGGTGTGATGGTGCATGCCTATAGTCCCAGCTACTAGGGAGGCTTAGGCAGAAACTCTGGAGGTGGAGGTTACAGTGAGCCGAGATCATGCCGCTGCACTCCAGCCTGGGTGACAGAGCAAGACTGTCTCAAAAAAAATTTTAAATAGAGTTTAAGGTTAGAAACTTCTTGGTGAAATATTAAATGGCATGTGTAATGGCATGATTCTATTGTCTTTGGAAACGGTCTCAATACTTGCGTATGTAGAACAACCCAAAGACAAGAATGCTTGAATAGACTAGGAAGTATTTTTTAAACTGCCAGAGAATAAACAGAAACTATTGCAGAACTGTAGGTTTTCTTGCCCTGAAACTTTCAAATTAGGTACTTTTAAAAAGAAATCTTCCCAAATAACTAATAAAATGTATTCATTTTATTGCTTTGTCTGCATGGAAAAAGTTACTGCTCCCAGATGTTAATATTAGACTTACAAACTATGCAGGAGTATTCCAATGAAAGAGGATTGATCAAGTACACTTAGTTTCATCTCCTCCCCAACTCTAACAGTAAAGAGACTTTAAAAAAAGATATAATATAGATGGCCAAAAAGAAGGGAAGTAGTGAAAATGGCATCCAAATTTTGGAAGCTGAATATTTGATGAATGTTGAATTACTTAACAGACGTGAGAAAGCTGAATCTTAAACTACCAGTGGGGAAAACTGAAAAGCAGCCTAATTTGCATTGCAAATGCAAAGCCTCAGAAATCGGTGGAAATTGAAAATAAGGATGAACGTGGGATAAAAAGAAAAGATATGATTATACATCTTCCCTTTAAGATAAAATTGAAGGTTTATTTTCTGCAGAGTCAAAGACAGTGTCTCTGGACTAGAAAACCCTAGGTGCACAACTGTCTGGTGGCGCTGAATTGAAAAATGAGGAAAAAAGGTTTTCATGCTGAATATTATAACTCTCTTCTACTTCTCCTATTTCTCCCAGAAAACAATGACAGTAAGCAGGATATAGGAAGAGTTATCTTTGGGGAATCAGACCAGCCTAAGAGCAAAGATGTAAAGGTATTAATATTGGAGATCCCAAGGAAATGGCTTGGCCAGATGTACTAAAGGAAGACCATATTTAACAAGCTTCACACGTTTGCAAATTCCAATCAACTTTTTAGTGTTCACTTATACATAAGAGCAGATAGCAAAGGACGACCAGGCATTTGAGGATGAAAACATTATAAAATATGGGAATGTCCACAAACAATAAAAGTGGGTTCGAGTAAGTAGAATTTATATAGAGAGAACATTTCAAAAAACTGTTAAAGAGTATCCTCAAAGAGATTAAGAGGTGTTATTTTCATGAATAAAGGCAAGAAACTACTTGAAAAGAAAGAACAAAAAAATGAGTTCTTGGAAAATAAGAATATAATAGTATAAATGAAAAATTTAATTTTAAAAAGATGATAAAATAGAGGCAAAGTCCCGGAAAGTAGAGCAGAAAGACAAAGAATAGAAAATTTGAAAGGAAAGAAAGGGGTCACGTTCAGGAGGCCCAATATCCAAATAATCGGAAATTCAGAAAGAGAAAACAGAAAAAAATGGAGGATAGCAAATCCTCGAACAGTATTTTCTAGAACTAAATCAATGAGTTTTCAGTTGACAGACTTCTCAAGAGCTCAATACAGCGGATAAACATATTCCCACACCAGCAGGCATCATTACTAAAATTCAGTGCTTCAAACAGTGGAAGATTCTGCAAGCTTCCTGTGAAAAAAATGAAAAGCTTCCTGAGGAAAAAAAGAATAAGAAAACAGAGTAACACCAGATTTATCAACAGCAACAACTTGGAAGCTGTAAGATAATTGGGAAATGCCTGGAAGAGTCCAAGGAGGGAATAATAGAATTATGTACTCAGGCAGTATGAGTGTATTTTGACAGTAGAATAAAGACATCTTCAGCTATATAGCATCTCAAGAATTTACTTTCTATGCGTTTTACTAAGGTATCCACTGAGAATAATATTTTTCAAAAACAGGAAAATCTTGGTACAAGCATTATCAAAAAAAAAAAAAGAAAGAAAAGAGAAGGAAATAAACCAAGAAGAGAAAATTAAGGGATCATGACACAGGAAAACCAGCACAAGACAGTAGGGGAAGTAATCCCCAGGATATTAATGGAGACCCTGGAATGATAATGAAAGAAGATATTGTAACAAAATGACTGGGGCAGGCATAGAGAAAATGAGTATAGATTCTAGAGTTTTTTTAATAAGACTCTGAGGAAGAGTTATTCAAGAAGGCAAAGTTGATGGACTATGTAATGTACTTCATAGTAATAAAGGTTTAAACTCTGGGAGTGATGCAGTTGAATTCGAGTTAAGTACATACGACAATTAAATAGATGAGTTGGATGGGAGTGGGAAAGACAATTATTAACTCTAGAGGGATAAAATATAGAAGAGGAAAGGAAAAGTAAGTACACCACCTGTCTTAGCTGTGAATAGCATTTACATAGTCATCATATTGACAGTGACTATATTAGTGTATTAGGAGAATGGGGGTATTATAAGGGTTGCCTAGAAGCAGCATGGGAGTGTGAGAGAGCTGATGTCTCATATTACATTGAAGGAACTGATATTTGAAGAAGTAATAAAAGTATATTGTTTGAGGTATTGTAAGTATTCATCTAAAAGGGAGTTATAAGTAGTTGCCCCTGAAAGGGAGGAATGGAGATGAAGCAAAGTACTGCTGTTTTGCTTAGAAATCTCATAGAACTAGTTGACTCTATGCAAATGTACAACTTTAATAAAAATAATAACTGTAGAATGAATTGTGCTTTTAAAAAAGTAGATGTAGCTGGACCTGGTGCACACTTGTAGTCCCAACTACTAGAGAGGTTCAGGTGGGAGGACCACTTGTGCCCAGAAGTTCCAGTACAGCCTGGGCCACATAGCAAGATCCTATCTCTAAAAAATAATAATAACAAAAGCAAATGTATACATAAGCTTCCAACATGTTGTATAGATTTGACTTAGATTACTTTAGAAAATATATTTTGCCCTATAGAGATTAATAATTTTTGTTTCTTGTTATCAGATCAGATCCAGACTGTGAAGACATGAAAAGATAATAGTTGGAAACCTCTGCAATTTTCAATTCAAGGAATCTATCTAAGGCAAACAGAATACTTTACATTTTGTAAAAGATGTTTATGCATCAAAAAATATAATTTTCTGCTTGCATTTATGGACTCTGAATGACCTTTTTAAGAACATAGGACTTCAGGTATGCTAATTCGGCCATTAATTATTTAAAAACTGAATATTCCCTCAAAAGGGCTCCCTAAAATTATCAACTTCTTAGTGAAGGTCTACATTTGATTGTATGTAGAATGTCTAAAAGTCAGAGTTACAAGCCCATCATAATTTATGATATGCTCAGTGTATTTTATTTTTTAATTGTCTTTTTTAAAAATTTAGTTTATGACTTTGCAGTATGAATTGTGCTTGTGAAAAAGAACTTTAAATATTTACAAGGGACCATGGGTAATTAATATATATTCAATTTTTACTATGTGTCACCGTCAATAAAATGTAAAATGTAATGTACCAACTAGTGTGCTTTGTTTATGCTGAAAAGAATAATGCTCTATTAGTATGGTATTTGGTGTCATACTGTGAAGCATTTGTAAACCATCTGAGACTAAGTTAAGCTGAATTTATTTATTCAGTGTATGTTGAACATCTCTACACCAACTAGTCAGGCATAGTCCTAGGCAATGATGATACGGGGTAAATAAGACATATCCTTATCTTCAGATAACTTAAAATTCATTAAGGGATAATTTGAGAAGCTTTTCATGGATAGTATCTAATTTTATTTCATTGGCTGAATGAAAATATTGCAACTTCAGATTAAGACGTATAAAGTAAATTAATGTTTGATTGTTCAGTAATCATAACTGACATCTTGTTTTTCCCTTTTAAATGCCTCCAATTTACCATAGCACTTTGTTAAAATAAATTGTGACTTTTAACTTTTTCATGGACATAAACTGCTACATAAATGTTCTTCATAATTTTAGACATATCTCAGACACACGAATTATTATTTCTTACAAATTAGAGACCACATATAATTGTGAACTCTAAATAGAAACCTTCATTTTAATCACTGAGCAACAGTATATAGAGCAATGTTGTTGATCCTGATAAACATTGCATATAAAGAAAAACTGTACTATATAATATATACCATCTCAAATGTCCTTAGCTTTGAAAATAGAAGGCAAAAATAAGTAATAAAGATGTTATAGTAACTGCAGTAGTGGTATATGTTTCACAGAGATTTTAATAAAAGCATATAAAGCTACAATAAAAGTTTTATATTCCAGTTTCTCATAGTCCAGAAATACCAGTGATTTGGCATTTGGCAAATTGAAAGTTATCCAGAAAATTCCAATGGCGTAGCATCTTAGGTAGTTTACCATCTCTCTTGTACATTGTTTTAGAGGATACAAAATGAAAATCTTATTAATCTAAAGTTGCTGCAGATATGGAAAGTACATAATGATGGAAACAATGAATGTAATTTTTTAAAAAATTGATATGCTACAACTATTTTAGGATGGAGAAAGAACTGATTGAGAATTCAAATCCTCGCTCACTTATCATAAGGTAGTAATAAAATTAGTAAGAGTCACTACTATACGATCATTATATTATAAGCAGGTATTACACATACAGAATTTTCATCATTTAATCCTCCCAATAAGCCTATGTGGGAGGTGTTATTATTTCTATTTTATAGATCAGTAAACTGAGGCCTTAAAATGTTATATAATTTGCCAAAGTTCAAAGAGCTAGTAAGTCTGGTACTAGGATTCAGTACCAAGCAGTCTCTTTAAGAGCGATGATTCAAGAGTATGGTAGATATTAGAAATACAGATATATCTACCAGAATAACAACTAAAATGATAGAAAAGGCTCTTTCTTGGGACAGCAACCAGGACAGGGATGGTAGAGGGAAGGTCAGAGACTAGAGACTACTCTTTGGTTTTTTTTTTTGTTTTCTTTCTTTAAAAAAAAGCTATTAGCTGTACTCAAATTTTAAACTCTGGACATAAATGACTTTGGTAAAAGTCCTTAAAACTATTTTAACAAATTATTTGGTATTCCACAAGCTACAGTAGCTCATACCTATGCAAATATTTAGAAGAAGAAGTACCCTTTTTCTTTGTTTTCGTGATCTCCAAAATCTAGTTTTTAGTCTATAAATATCCATCCCTACTCCATATTTTCATGTAAAGATTATGTAGAAATAAGTTGGGCAACAGTGTAGTCACAGGATGCCATATAAGTGTGAATAAGCTGAGATTATTGCATTTGTATTTAGCATATTATACAATTAAAATGTATTTTATTAAAGCTGAAGCAAGTTGTTTTTCATGTCTAGACATCACTGTGTTACAGAGTTTAATTCATTAAGCTCTGTATTTGAATATAACACCTTGTAAAATGTTTGAAACTTATCCTCTTGTGTGCTTTGCATTTAAATATTTGTATATGGCCCTGTTCAGCCTGTGCTTTGTAAGTCACAAAAGGGCTGGGTTTTATATGTTTGTTTTTTATTTCTAAGCTCTCTGCGAAAAAGTTACAAATTGTCTCCTGGTTGTTTAAGATATTTTTTCTTTGTAATTTTTTATATCATGTGTGATTTTCATAAATATGTGCAGTTACTCTTGATAATACTTGTCTTAGTCATTTCAGGTTGCTATAACAAAGTACCATAGACTGGGTGGCTTATAAACAACAGAAATTTATTTCTTACAGCTCTGGAGCTGGAAGTCTGAGATCAGATTGCCAGCATGGTTGGGTTCTGGTGAGAGCCGTCTTGGTTGCAGACTGCCATCTTCTTGTATCCTCACATGGCAAAAGGAGGGCAAGAGAACTCTCTGGAGTCTGTTTGATAAGAGCATGAATCCCATTACATCTTCACATGGCTCCTCCCAAAGACCCCACCTCCTAATATCATCACATATCATCACATAGGGGTTAGAATTTCAACACAGAAATTTTGGGAGAACACAGACATTCGGTCAGTTGCAATACTTAAGGCAAATTCATCTTGCTTATAACTCTGGTGCATTAAAATACTATTGCATCTTAACCGAGTTTGTACTTATTTTCTGCTTTCTGATTATTCCCTTTGTTCATAAAAATAAATGACTGGTATTACATGGTCACCTAAATAAATAGGTTTGTGTATGTCTGTGACTAGAAAGAAATACTATAGTGATTAAGAAATGGTTACTGTGTTTAATTGAATGTTTTAGGTTACTTAGTTATTACATTTTCATCTTTCTCCGTATGGATGCTCCTGCTCAACTTTGCCTGCCTCAGAACCTTTATGGCTCTTTCTTCCAATCACTTGATTTCAACACCAGATTTAGAAGCTTCGTCGGCATACCATGTTAAACTGCTTTTCTGGCAATTTAGAATAAACCAAGAAAGACATAAAATCCGTCTCCAAATTTTAAATCACCAAGTAATGCTAAAAGTCATCCAGGGATACTAGATACGTTGAAAATAAAATTTGATTAGAAATGTAGTAATGATAAACATCTTATAGCTTTTACAGTGTGCCCACCCTTCGTAAGCACTTTACATATATTCATTTAATTGTCATAAGAACCTTGTGAGGTAAATATCATCTCTGTATATAGATCAGGTGTCAGTAAACTGCTAACCCATTTTTGTACTGCCTTTAATGTTTATTTTACATTTTTAAAGAGTTGTTAGGCCAGGCATGGTGGCTCTTGCCTGTAATCCCAGCAGGTAATCGGCCTTTGGGAGGCCGAAGCAGGCGGATTACTAGAGGACAGGAGTTTGAGACCAGCATGGCCAACATGGGGAAACCTCGTCTCCACTAAAAATACAAAAATTAACCAGGTGTGGTGGCATGTGCCTGTGCTCCCAGCTACTTGGGAGGCTGAGGCATGAGAATCACTTGAACCCAAGAGGCAGAGGTTGCAGTGAGCCAAGACTGTGCTACTGTACTCCAGCCTGGGCAACAGAGTGAGACTCTGTGGGTGCAGCACACCAACATGGCACAAGTATACATATGTAACAAACCTGCACGTTGTGCCCTTGAACTTAAAGTATGAAAAAAAAAAAAAAAGGTTGTTGTAAAGGAGGAGGAGCAACAGAGAATACATGTGGCCTGTAAAGCCTAAAACATAAACCGTCTGATGCCTTTTACATAAAAAGTTTGTTTACCCCTGTAATAGATGATAAAGTGAGGCAAGAGATAGCATATTGCAAATAAATGGAAGAAACCAGATTTTGAGTCTACAAGATCTGGCCCTGGAATCTGTGTTCTTACCCTTTACATAGCTTTATAGCAAAGCTAAACGTTCTAAAGTGCAATAGAACAATTTGAAATTACTTTCTTCTTAAATAATTGTATTAAAAATGAAAAATTGGGTGCAAATGGCTGAAAAGCAATGCTCTTTGGAATTTCTTTAATTTCCCATTAAGAATGAAAAGTATTAAGTCTTGGCCTTCTGGTTTTTGTTCTTCCTTTTCTTTAAATGGGTGGCAAGAAATAAGGCAGATGATGAAGCATCAAATATGTTAACTTTTAAAAGTATAGAAACACATACAAATTGTCCCCAAGCATCTGGCTTGGACTTTCAGATTCCCTGATGATTTTTACCAATATTTTGAGGTAAATGATAGCTACTGTTGATAGTCTTGAAATGTATATGTTAGCATATAGTGAAGGAAACAAAAATAAAATATACTAATTTGGTGTATTTTTGAGAAAGCTATGCAGAGGGCCTGCAAACACAAGTAGCCCTACAAAGCTGTCTTTTGTGGGAAAGATTTTCTTCTGCAGAGAAAATCTGCGCTGATGCAGCGAAGCTTTCTCTGAGCCCTCCCATGTCTGGATCAAGGAAAGAGTAACTGAGAGTCTGATACCTTTAACTGAGATTCTGCTGTCTGTGAGGTTTCATCTATATAACCAGACGACCTTTGCTAGCCAAGCCTCCTCTTCCCCGCTCCCATAACCTGTCTTGCCACCATAAACCATTTTGGGTGAAGCGTCTAGCTATTCTTTCTGTAGTCTCAGGATGGTATCAAAACGCCGTATGGCCATTTCTTTGAGCTTTTATATTTTGTGTGACTCCTCTGAACATGACTGCACAAAATAAATTTGTATGCCTTTTTTCCTGTTAATCTGTGAACAGATCAGGGGAAAACCTTAAACTTCCCTGCAGGAGAAACATTTTTATAATTCAGTTTGTAGATATTTGTATTTTTGAGTTATGTAACAAGTATAGCTAAGAATGTTTACTTCATTACAAACATTTCATGTTTATGCGTCAGTGTTCTACACTTGCCATTTGCCTAAACGGATAACATGTCCACAAAGGACTAGGCTCAGAATTTGGTCTGTCTCTTATAATCTCTTTGAAAAGTTTATAAATTCTTCCAAATAATTTATGAAGTATCAATGTTATATTACTAAAATTGATTTATGTGTCCTCCAATTAAATGTAATCATTACTGTTGGAGTTAAAGCCAGTTTCACATTCACACTTTTCTTAGGCTCTGTGGGGGGTGTGTGTGTGTGTGTGTGTGTGTGTGTGTGTGTGTGTGTGTTTATAATCTCTTTGAGAAGTTTTCAAATTCTTCCAAATAATTTATGAAGTATCAATGTTATGTGACTAAAATTGATTTATGTGTCCTCCAATTAAATGTAATCATTACTGTTGGAGTTAAAGCCAGTTTCACATTCACACTCTTCTTAGGCTCTGTGGGGGGTGTGTGTTTGTGTTTGTGTGTATGTGTGTATCAGGATGCATGCACCTTCCTAAAGTCATAGCAAGCTCACACTTTAGTGATCCCTAACTCTTCCGTGGGACTTTCTTAGGCAGATTTATAGTTATGTCTTGCAAGTATACTATTCTTACCAAGTTTTAGGGGTTTTTTAAAAAATATGTTGTTTTATGTAATTCTTAAATATGATATATCAGCTCTTACCTCTTGCCATTTCTGGGAACTTTATTATACATTTGATAGTGTTTTTAGTGCATTTTTAGATGCTGGGTTATTATCTTAAATGCTCTCTAATTCAGTGAGTTTGTAGTTTCATAAAATATCACTTATTGCTTTTCACATTGTAAAACCCCCATACTGTGAATAATTTCATTTTATTTATGCATAGCAGCACAAGATTTTTTAAGAACAAATGAAAAGATTTTTAAGACCCTATATTTACATGGTCTCTTGTTAATGTTTAAATTTGTATTTTCTAATACAGAATATATCTAACACAGGACTTCGGAAAAAATTATTATTGATATGTTTCCTGATTAAAACAAAGTGTGAATCTCTATATATAAAGACAAGAGGCAGTATTTTTCTTTTAATAAGATCTTTAGATATAACAGAGATACTCAATTGTCTATGAGAAGAATGGGTAGAAATAGACTATGACTCTTTCTTAAAAGAGATCAGGAAAATCTTGAGGTGGAAGCCTCCATTGATATCAGTACCAACCAAATCATACTAAGTGAGCAGCTTCTTAGTCTTTATATGAATAAAGCTTTCCCTAAAGTAGAATGAGTATGCAAGGAGCAACTATATTTATGGAGCCTACAATTATATTTCCCTTTGATATAACATTTGAATTACTGTCACCTCAAAGAAGACCTAAATTTATCTTAAAGATTATACAGTACCCTATATCTAAATCACATCAGTTTTATATTTATTTAAATTTTTGTCTTCACTCTTAATATATTCTACCTTCCAGAAACAAACTGAGAAAAATGCCTACATGAGACTATTGCATGACAGAATGAAAAGTTATAATGCTGAGTGTCTTATTCTAAGGAAATTTTTATATTCAGTTAACTCATGATTTTGTCTTTTTTTCTTTAGCACTACTTTAAATTGTTTTTCAAAGGGGCTAAATTAATATTAATGTATAGTCATATATTAAGATAGTATACTAATGAAATGCAATCAGAAAAAAAAACAGTGCATACCTCATTTAATTGAGCATCACTTGATTGTGCTTCACAGATACCCTGTTTTTTACACATTCAAGGTTTGTGACAACCCTGTGTTGAGCAAGTTTATCAACACCATTTTTCCAACACCTTTTGCTCACATTGTATCTCTGTATCACATTTTGCTAAATCCCACAATATTTAAAACTTTGTTATTATTATATTTGTTATGATGATCTGTGATCAGTGGTCTTTACTATTGTAATTATTTTGGGGTGCCATGAAACTCACCCATATAAAACTGCAAACTTAATTGGTAAATGTGCATGTTCTGACTGCTCTACAAACTAGCCATTCCCTAAGGGTCCTGTGGGATAACAGAAAAAGATTTTTTAATATATGCAATTGGAGGCTCACAGGGATAGGAAAGAAAGAATGGAGCAAATTTATGAAGAAATAATAGCTGAAAAAATCTAGATTAAATGACAGGCATAATTTATAGATTTTAAAAGCTCAGAAACCCCCAAATAGAGTAAATACAAAACATAAACTTACATATGGCAAAGCTAATTGCTGAAAACCAAATATCAAAAACATCCAGAGGAAAGAAAACCTTATTTACAGAGTAAAAGTGATACAAATAAGTTTCTATACAAACTGATACCAAAAAAAAGTCCATTTTTATTAGAGACTATGCCAAATTCAGTAGTACAGTATCTTTTAAAGTGTTGAAAGAAAAATAAGAAAGTTAATCCAGAATTCTAAGATAGAAAACTAAGAAAAAATTCTGCAGGCTGGAGGGAAATTACACCAAATGAGAAGTCTAATTTTCAAGAAGCAATGAAATGATAAATATCTGGGTAAATGTAAAACTCTTTTTAAAAAATATTAAAATACATGTGAATGTTTAAAAGAATAACATATCCGTGTGTGGCTAATAATGTATGTAGATTTCATACAAATAACATATGATAACTATAATTGAAAAGGATGGTGAGGGTGATAAAGGACCCAAACAGTTGTAAAACTTCTACATTTTACAAGAATTGATACAATATTGACTCTAATCGACAATATAAATTAAAGATGCATATTGTAATCCCTAGAGCAACTATTTAAAAATGTAGAAAAGAAATATTAAAAAGCCAATACATTAAAATGGAATTTAAGAAATACTCAATTAATCCACATAATAAGGAAAGGAGGGACAAAGGAACAAAACACAGAAGGAACAAACAGTCCTTAATACCATTATATCAATACTTGCAATAAATTTAATT